GACAGGAGTATATGATTAAAAACAAAAAGGAAAAATAAAGAAAAACACAAAGAGAAAAAAAGAAAAGAAAAGAAACGTACCTACACATGATCCAGATCTGAGTTATCAAATAAAGATTTTAAAATAACCATGACTGATATGTTCGAAATAAGCAAGAAAAGGATGGAGAAAATAAATGGAAAAATGGAGAATTTTTGCCAGAGGGTTGGAAACTATAAAAAAGAATGAAATGGAAATTCTAGAACTGAGAAACACAATAACTGAAATTAAGAACTCAAGAGATTAGACACAGCTGTAGACAGGGTTAATGAACTGGAGGACAGAAAATATAAAAAATTAAAATCAGAGAGAAAAAAATGGAAAATGCAGAAGTGAGAGTCAAAGAAATACAGGACACAGTGAAACAGTCTAACTTGCACATAATTGTAATCTAAAAGAGGAAGAAATGGAATGGGGGTCACCATGGGCTAAATGTTTTTGTCCCAAATTCCTATGTTGAATTCCTAACTCCCAAAGTCATGGTGTTAGAAGGGTGGGCCTTTGAGATGTGTTTAGGTCATGAGGGTGGAGCCCTCGCAAATGGGATTAGTGCCCTTATAAAAGAGGCCCGAGAGAGACCCCTCACCCCTTCTACCACGTGAAGACACAGTGAGAAGGTGCCATCTGTGAGCCAGAGAGCAGATCTTCACCAGACAGGAAATCTGCCTCGATCTTGGACTTCCCAGCCTCCAAAACTGTGAGAAACAAATTTCTGTTGTTCAAACGCCATCCAGTTTATGGCATTTTGTTATAGCAGTCTGAATGAACTAAGACAGGGAAAAGCAATATTTTGAGAGATAATGGCCACGAATTGTCTAAAATTGCAGAAGCACATCAGTCCAACAGATTCAAGAAACTCTGCAAACACAAAGTAGGATAAACACAAAGAAAAGTATACTAAGTTATATCATAATAAGACAGCTGAGTACCAAAGATGAAGAGAAAAATCTCAAAAGCAGCCAGAAAAAAAAAAGACATATAACCTAAAGAAGCAAAAATGAGATTGATAATCGACTTCTCGACAGAAATGACGAAAGCCAAAAGACAAGGTTGCAGGGTCCCGACATCACCATGTAAGTGGTA